ACACACACACACACACACACATACACACACAAAACACAATCGGTGCAACTTGAAGAATAAGGATATACAGTATAATTCAATACCATACCATATGACAAAAAAACTCATACATTAATTCATTCCATTTCATCATTATTTGCTCACATTTTCCTTATAAACGGACTTCTACTTCAGGTGCATTTACGTGCGCATGAACGCGCTTGAACACGCGCGTAAAAAAAATAATCACCCGTACGTTACTTTAGTCTGGTGATCTGATTGGCTGCGGAGGCGGAACTTCCGGTAGCACCGGTTGGACTGTGGACACGAAGTGAAAGACTTCAGCTGCCTAAAATCGGAAGAAAGGGAAGAACGTCGAGTTTACGGCTTGTCAGAGAGTAAGAAAGTAGAATGCGAAAGCGGGAATATAATTAGGTTGAGCTGAAATTGACGTTTCGATGAGTTGTCAGTGCTTTTGACCACTCAGCGCGAAAGAGTAGCAGCTAGCCGGCCAACCGTGTCGTTTTAGTGAATGTTGTGGTGCGCTTGGCGACCTCGTAAATATGCGAATAAAAGTGTCGGAATTGAACAGTTTACTCTTTGGACAGATTCCAAACGGTTTTAGAATGATCAGTGAAGAATTATCATTTGATTCGAATCTTTCCATACTTGTGTGGCGTACAGCAGCATTTGATTGCGGATTTCAACTTTCAACGCGGGGTAGTAAATACACTATTCGATTCCAATACCTGTTTGTGGTGTTGTGTTTAAAATAAAATACTTTTTATCCCATGCCACGCTTTAGTCTTATGACTACATAACAAGATTACTGTACTCCCAGAAAGTTTTATTAAGCTTACTTTTATGGCGTTGTTTCCAAACCAAGCCCAGTGTGTTCCTGTTGAACTGTGATAACCCTTTGTTGTAATAAGTACGAACATGTTCTACTGTGCTTACCTCTTTTTGGTCTGATTTCGAAACCTATTTGTAAGGTTTCTTAAGTCTAGTCTTGTCTTCTAATTGAGTTGTCAGCGCTATTATGTGTCATCGCATCCGTCTCTCATTACTTAACCTCATATATACAATCTTTTTTGTTGAAATGAATTGCTCTCACACGGTGATACTTTTATAAAATGAAGAGCATATATATTTGTGCAAATATATCTTCAGATATGTGATATTTCAATTGTTTAATAGAGGTGTAGGTCACTGATGATGTAGGAGTTCACTCACCTGTTCTTCCCATCCAAGGCAGTGTGTGTTCAGTTTCCATTCTGTGACAATGATTGTCTGCCTCTATATGTGCCCTGTGGCTGACTGATAACTAGTCCAAGGAGTACAGCAGGGATAGGCTCCAGGTTCCCACAATCCTTACCAAAATTAGTGGTATAGAACGTGAAAGGACAAAATCAAAATGGGGAGTTCAGGTATTGCAGGTCATGATTGTTTATAGAGTATTTGAATGACCCAATGTGTTTCTTTGGGCTTCAGATTGTGATGATTCTAACAAATGGACGACATCAACCTCCATTATCGTTTTTTGAACTGGAGAAGGCGAATACGAGAATTTCGTGAAGTACGACCAGTGCGGTACCGAGAGCGTCTGAAAAGAATGCTGAGGGATGGTGATGTGCTCAGGTAACGCCAAAGAGTGTGTACCTCTGCACGTATTACTTTCACTTTCACTATAAAAGAAAGGAACTTTTTGCTTGTCCCATCATGTATTTATAATATTTCACATAACAAAGTATTCAGTTAATAGTGTCTTTTTGTTTTTGTATTCTCTGTGCAGGTACCATGGGAACTCAGATGAAGTTGGCTGTTTTGTGGCAGCGAGACCGTTGTCAAAGAGAAGTCGCTATTTTGAGGTGAGTCAAACAGATCCATCCATCCATTATGTGATTTGCTCAAGGGTCGTGGGCATGCTGGAGCCTATCCCAGGTGTCTGCAGGCAATAGGAAGGGTGCACCCTGAACTGATTGGCATCAAATCACAGGGCACATCATAGACAAACAACCCTTCTCACTCACAGTCACACTTCAATCAACCTACCAGGCATGTTTTCGACACGTGGGAGGAAACCGGTGTACCCGGAGACAATACACGGAGACATGGGGAAAATATGCAAACTCCACACAGGAAGCCCATAACCCAGAATCGTCAACTGATTTCTGTACTATCTGTCTCTGTGGCCATGGACTTGTATATGAATGGACTAACAATGCCGCTTACTCGCTGTTGGGAGAAGAGAAACCACTGGCTGTCATCTTGCATTGCCACACCACCGAACTTGGATAGATTGATGTTTCTGTGGTGAAAATGCCACAGAGTGGGGTGTACAGTTGTACCAATGATATTTCAATTGTTTAATAGAGGTGTAGGTCACTGATGATGTAGGAGTTCACTCACCTGTTCTTCCCATCCAAGGCAGTGTGTGTTCAGTTTCCATTCTGTGACAATGATTGTCTGCCTCTATATGTGCCCTGTGGCTGACTGATAACTAGTCCAAGGAGTACAGCAGGGATAGGCTCCAGGTTCCCACAATCCTTACCAAAATTAGTGGTATAGAACGTGAAAGGACAAAATCAAAATGGGGAGTTCAGGTATTGCAGGTCATGATTGTTTATAGAGTATTTGAATGACCCAATGTGTTTCTTTGGGCTTCAGATTGTGATGATTCTAACAAATGGACGACATCAACCTCCATTATCGTTTTTTGAACTGGAGAAGGCGAATACGAGAATTTCGTGAAGTACGACCAGTGCGGTACCGAGAGCGTCTGAAAAGAATGCTGAGGGATGGTGATGTGCTCAGGTAACGCCAAAGAGTGTGTACCTCTGCACGTATTACTTTCACTTTCACTATAAAAGAAAGGAACTTTTTGCTTGTCCCATCATGTATTTATAATATTTCACATAACAAAGTATTCAGTTAATAGTGTCTTTTTGTTTTTGTATTCTCTGTGCAGGTACCATGGGAACTCAGATGAAGTTGGCTGTTTTGTGGCAGCGAGACCGTTGTCAAAGAGAAGTCGCTATTTTGAGGTGAGTCAAACAGATCCATCCATCCATTATGTGATTTGCTCAAGGGTCGTGGGCATGCTGGAGCCTATCCCAGGTGTCTGCAGGCAATAGGAAGGGTGCACCCTGAACTGATTGGCATCAAATCACAGGGCACATCATAGACAAACAACCCTTCTCACTCACAGTCACACTTCAATCAACCTACCAGGCATGTTTTCGACACGTGGGAGGAAACCGGTGTACCCGGAGACAATACACGGAGACATGGGGAAAATATGCAAACTCCACACAGGAAGCCCATAACCCAGAATCGTCAACTGATTTCTGTACTATCTGTCTCTGTGGCCATGGACTTGTATATGAATGGACTAACAATGCCGCTTACTCGCTGTTGGGAGAAGAGAAACCACTGGCTGTCATCTTGCATTGCCACACCACCGAACTTGGATAGATTGATGTTTCTGTGGTGAAAATGCCACAGAGTGGGGTGTACAGTTGTACCAATAAATCTGGGACAAGTGCCACATGCACATCTCATTAGCAAGAATGCGATTAGAAATTTTCTCCGATACGGTAAATCTCTGAGTGCTACTCAAATATTCGTCTGCATCATGTTGTCATAACGATGAAGAATGAAACTAAAGAAAAGCCCATCTGAAAAAAAAGTTCCTGTGAAATGCAAAATTAATGTTTCTAAGTCACCGTTCACGATAATGAGACCATATACGCCGATTGATCAATGGAAACAGTAAAATATGTTCTTTGTTAGGCTTTCATTTATCCACACAGTCATCTTAGTGTAAAACACGCACCAATGACAGCATTTTCAGCAAAAACCAAAGTTGTTAGTTACACTAGTAACGTAAGATGGCTACCTTCTGGCTTCAGCCATCAGGGGCCCAATTGTTAGACCCATTTTATATGTGTATGTCTGTGCCTGTAATGCTTCCACAGGAAGTTTCCAAAAGTTACAGTGTCGTAGTTACCATACCATCAGAATCTGATTCTGGGGGATGTAATCATCCTCAGAACAAGAGCGAACTGGGGTAAAGAGCGAGAAAAGGAGGTATTTGTGGGAAATGACAAGATGGTAGAACTTCTGGTTGGGAAGGAAAGCACAGATCACCACCATCATAAAGAACATCCGGCACAGTGATCCAGCATTGTTACTGTCGATTATGTTAGGAGATAATCAGGCCAGAACTGGGACTGCCGCGTCATCGTCTTAGGAAGGGTGGGGATCGAAACACAGGGTAAACGTTTTCAAATTCATTCACTCTGGGAGCCGGTTAAAATAAATAAATAAACAAATCATATTCTGTGAACTTTTATTACAACATATACGTTTTCTGATACTTAGTGTTTGCCAAGCTCCTTTTTGGCAGGTATTGTAGAATAATATGGAGTCATAATTATAGGATCGTGACAACAATCCTATCTGTAGGTATGTAATGGGTTTGTTTATAGTGCTCTTCTGATAAACGACAAAAAAAAACCAAAACCTGGCAGCAATCATGGTAGGGTGTTAGGCCCATAATTAGTGTCTCCGGGGTGTGTTCTGCAAAAACAGCTTACTGTTTGTATCGCTGCTGGCCCGCAGTCTCTATCCATTTGCGCTGGAAGTTGATAAAACCGCCTTGATTTCAAGTCTGGGTCAAGGAAATGCTGTCAGTGAATCAGTTGGAGAAGTTGAGGATATGACTGGAATCGTACGCAGTGGGAGATGTAACGCCACATGGACGACTTTTATGGTGTTCCACAAAAGCCGTCACATTTTCCCCTCCAGACCGACACATGAGAGAGCTCGCCAAATGATGCACTTTTATTACCAATGACCTGTCCGTGATTGTCTTTTACTTTTCCGTGAATGGGTGCAGGTTCTGTAGAGTGAGTTGATGCTTTTTTTCCCCCCTCCCTTGTCTATAAATCTACTGCATAAAATGTAATATTTAATGGAAATCATCTGCAGATTGTATAGATTTCGGACAGAGTTTTATTTGCCAGGGCACAGAGCAGACCTTGGGTATTGCTTGTGTATCTCCACCTGCTTGAGTCATAATAATTATGAGAACAATACACTTTCAAAGAACTAAGCTTGCAAGGTTCTGGATAGATGAGAATGCATCATTTAAGGTCACATGCAATAACTTCAGTTGCAGTTGACCTATTTTGGGGGTATTTTGAAGTCATTTTTACCATTGGGGGAAAAAATGAAAATGGAAATAATCCATTCCAAGGTCAATCTATCAAGTTCTTGGATAAGCCTTTATTTGTCCCGCAATGGGGAAATTTAATTATCCATTCCTTAATCCATTCCAAGGTCAATCTATCAAGTTCTTTAAACAGATTAGATTGATTGGTCCATCTTCGAATCGCATCCGTGATATTCATTCATTCATTCATTTATATATTTATTTATTTAGCTCACTGATCCGTGATCGGCTCCAAAATCCTGATTGTGTAAAGCTTCGTTTCTTCCACCTTTAGAGATATGACTTGCCACAAGAATTGGTTGAATTTTCGAATTTCCTGATCATAAGGCGTTTGAATTGTCCAACTGTACAGATGCAGGCGTTATCATTCAAATCCATTTTGGAGATTCAAAACTGTTGCCAAAATTACAAATTTTAACCTGACAAGTGGACGTGTTCACTCTGACTATGAACTGACAAGCCTGTCGCCCTTGAGCGTGAACATGAGCGTGCATGTTGCCATAGCAGCAGTGTGATCAGAACAGTACAACAACTCTTCATTAAAGAAAGAACATTCTGTTTCACAGTATCAACTTACCTCAGCCTCACTTGCCATGTCGGAATCTTGGTTGTTGGCCTCAAAACATTTTTGAGTCAGGGTGTGAGCACCGACTACATCATATGTTTTGTTGATCTGAACATTCATCAAATCACCTTCCAAGTATCTTTTCCTCCAAAGCATTTTATTGTCTTTTTCCCCAGATGGATTTACAAAGCAAAAAAATAAAAATCATTGTCATCTAAAAATGTCTTCATCTTGGTTTAGTAATATCAGGCAAGGACAATTTCAGTTTATATATACATGTATCTATGTATACATGTATGTATGTATGTATATATACATGTATGTATACTGTATATACATATATACATACCTTCTCTATAGATTTATATTGGATGCAAAAAGTCTACACACCCCTGTTCAAGTGCTTTTTTGTGAGGCTTTTGCGATAACCCCCCCCCCAAATTGAGACCAAGAAAAATTATTCCTTAACATTTTCCACCATTATTGTGAGATACAACCTCTATAACTCAATTGAATTGTTTAAAAACTGTTTCTGAAAGGGAAAGTAAAAATAAACACACACACACACACACACACACACACACACACACACACACACACACACACAGGGGGTTTTCCTGATTTTTTTTTTCTTTTTTCTTTTTTTCCCCCCTTCTGCTAACACCTTTCCACGCATGTTTGGACATCTTGTTATTGTCCAATGAAATCAAGGTTGAACATTTTGTCCATAATTCCGAAACGTATGTTTAGCAGACGCTTCTCGTCAATAAAGACCACCACCTACAGTAAAGCATGCTGGTGGAGCATCTAAGCATTGAATCTTTCTACAAAACACGACGAATTAACAATTACTTCAATACAATCTGAATTCCCAACGATCAGTGAGTCGATTATTGTAGCTGACAATTATTGTTCCATCGCTTGTCCCGGTACGTTGAGGTCCTTTCAAGTCTCACGTTGTGCATGTGGAAAGGCCCTGACTTTCCAACTAGGAGAAGGACTTGAATAATATGTTGTAAGGTTCCAAGTTGTAATTGTTTTAGGAGTCTCCTTAATTGTTTTAGTTGCTTAATACAGGTCGATGATGTGATCCCGCTGAAGCTTACCAACATTGTTTTGTTATGACCACGCAGTATGTCTTCTGACATGGCTGTTTATCAAGTGAGAAGCTCCTCATTGCGTCAATTTGAATAATATGAAGCATGAAAGATTCTGACTGGATCCAGATGATATTTTTTGGCTGTGTCGTCTGTGACAAATTCAGCTCGTGGAAGGAGTACCGTACGTGCTCTTTCCTGCACGGCGCATGGCAGCTGATTACTGGCCAATGTGGCTCGTGTGCTACTGCGCACACAGTTGTAACTTGTTTCCATATTTTAGTCAGTTTGTTTCTTTAGTGCACTTTTGGAGCCTCCAAAGTCAAACACAATCTGTTCTGAGGCTGTTTGACACCCAAGTTTGGCCTTTACTGTAGCTGTCGCCATTTTAAAGCCTGTAAAGGCTATTGTCAGGTGACATTTTAACATCATACATGTGGACTTGTTATGCAAGAACAAAGATATGTTAACCGTTGTGTTGTAAAGCAAATACAACTAAAAGTAAAAGCATTCACCATTTGAGAACACCTGACGGGCACGTACGAATTGCAGTGCTCGCCCAGACCTTTTCCTTTTAAGTTTTATCTCCAGTTGGTTGTGGGTTGACTCTTTTCCTTTGTCATAAGTAGGATCCTGACATGGCACATCAAAAAAAGGAAGAAAAAAAAAAGCGTTCTGCACACGTGTTTCCAGAAACATTTGGTTGTTCACCTTATTGAGGATTCAACTTTGGAGGTTCCACCACACATGATTTACTGGACTCTTGATGCTAACTTGCAGTGGCAGAGGAAGCCATGTTCAAACTTGCCAAGCACACCCACGCGGCCCGCTCTACCGTGTAGTGATACAGTAACCACACCTTTTAACCTTTCTGCTTAAATGTACTTCTTTCTTAAGACTCACAATGTGGGAGGCACAGTGGAGAAGGGAGGGGAAGGGGCTATCTGCGTCAGTGGGGTTGGAGGGGCCTAATCAGCGACGCGACCTCCTCATAGATTTGATGTCAGTATTTATGGGCCATCTGACAGTTATGAAAAAACAAAAAAAAACCCAAAACCCGATTTATTCCCTTCTCAATCATGAGGGATCTTTGAGGGATCTGTTGAGGTCATGGGAATGAAGTTGAAGTTTCCTCTTCTGCTTGCCCTTCGTCTGCCAGCAATGCTCCGGCTCGTACGCTTCCATGTAGGGCTTCTCAGGAATCACGTCATACACTCAGTATTCAGTTGTGATAACAACGGCACAGACTGGTTTCGAGCCTCACTCTGAGTCAGTAGTTTCAACGTGAGTTTCGCAGACAACAAGCTGGAAAAAAAAAATAGAATGGAAACTGCATTGTATGAGAGCATGTTATGATTTTTCACTTGCTGCTCTGATCAATTGAGTCAGTATCAATAAAAATTGTGACGACTTCCACTTTCTTGAAGTTGGAGAATATTCCTAGATGTGTCTCTTGGATGTCTCCATTTCACCCAAAAAACGAGGTTTTCCATTGAACTTAATACTTAATTGTATTAAGTAGAGGCTAAGCTGCTTGAAATGCCCATTTTTTTTTTATTTGTACAAATTTGCGGCAAGCAGACAACGTGCCTGCAAAAAGGAAAATATGTGAACCTGCTGGCTTGGTGGACATTTTTGGCTCATGTTGACGTTTACTGAGCACATTATGTGGACCTTCACTTTGCAACATGATTCTGCTCCCAAGCTAACTGCGGACTGTTCAGCAATTATATTTCACATTTCTAAGAGGCTTTTATTTCAATTGATATTTCACTTGGACCGAGTGGACATGTTCAGCTTGACGATATCCACCTGGACCCATAATATGAAACTTATGAAACATGTAAAATATTTATTTGAACCCCCTTTGACAAAATGCTGGTTTAAATGCGATTTAAGGGACACGTGCAAAATGTTCAATGTGGGTATAAAAACAGAATCATGTACATTGTAAAAACTTCTAAAACATGTTTGAGTCAATGTCATTTAACTCTAATGGCTGAGTAATTCTGATGACACCAAAGGCGTTTTATCAAGTACCGGTAATATCTACTTTATTTTCATGCTTCACCTCTGTTTATTTAGGAGCCCAGTTTCTTGATCAGTATCAGCTTGTCTCACGTTTCCCTGAAATGTACATAAATGATATCTGTCACTTCTTATGTCCTGTGAGCACATCTGCAGTGGTCACACAAATGCAGACATAAGATGATGGTAGAACGGAACGCACGTCATGACTCATGCAGTTGCCGACAGGCGTTTCCTTGAATCACCTCAGAACCAGTGCAAATTACCATGGCAACCCTTCTGGTAATATTCTAACTGATCTGTTACTGTGGCTCCCTCTAGGTAACAATCGTCGATACAGGAGTGAGGGGGATGATTGCTGTTGGTTTAGTGCCTCACCTTTACAAGCTGGACCATCAACCAGGCTGGCTCCCAAATTCCGTGGCTTTCCATGCAGATGATGGCAAGTATGTGTGACAATTTTTATTTGATTTCAAGGTATGCACAGCATGTTAAGGAGTTTATAAAATTGGTGTGACTTGCAGCTGACTTAATTTCTCTGTCTTGCATTTAGGGAACATAAGGGAACTTTAGCCTATAAATGTACAGATGACGTTGATTGTGCATTTTACATTTTAGGTCACATTTGATTTAGTCTGGGTTGTGAATTAATGTAAATTGAGTACTTGACTGTCACACTTCCCCTTAAAAAGTCTCACAATGGTGGGAACGGAGAGAAATAAGCAGCACAATCTCTTCACTAGCGTGCCATCGTAACATACAGCAACATTATAGGTCAGGTGTGAAGTAAAACTTGGCCAACCAATTTTTGAGTAATACCTGGGGCCAAAACTATTTCAAGCATACTTTCGTTGGCAACGTGTGTAACAATGAAAATGCTTTTGTTCGTCAATATCCGGCGAGTGGTGTCAATGACAGAATGCCGAGTCGCCAATCAGCCATTTTAATGCATTGTTGATTGTCCCGTTAACTGCTCTTTGCCATTATTATCGAGTTATTCTGCAATATATATAAAATAATAAATAAAATAACTTGTTTTTTGGCCCCTTAATGCTTCATATCAATATGAATTACTGGCTAAACATTTGACTTTTTATTTATTTTATTTTATTTTTTTAAATGCATTGTCCTTTAAAATGTAATGTGCTAATGTGGAAAAAAAATAGGCCCCAAAAAAAGTGCAGATTTTTGCAGAGATTAAAAGCGCGAATATGGACCGATTAATCAGTCAGGCCCCAATATCTCATAAGTCTCATATAACTGCAGGTTGTACAACGGCAACACTGTAGGTCAACAGTTTGGTCCAAAATGCTGCAGAGGGGACAGAATCGGCTGTGGAATATCCCTGGACTCTGATGATGGACAGTTGACTGTGTTTTTTACCAAGAATGGTAAAGAAGTAAGTAGTCTTTCAAGTTCACTTGTTGTGTTTTGTTGACGTCCAATTGTGTGAATGTGAAGAAATGGGGAATATGTGCCCAGGTTGGCAGCTTGGAAGTACCAGCAGTCGAAGCTCTCTACCCTGCTGTAGGAATGCATTCGCTGGGGGAGGAAGTGCTGCTGGACCTACATGCTGAATGGAGAATGGAGGAGGATGACGGGCTGATGATAGTAGACAGCCACGAAGATGACTGGGGCCGCCTCCATGATATTAGAGTGTCTGGCACCGTAAGTACCGAATGCGCAGAAGAGGTTTTGTGTGGATTTGTTGTGGCTGAGGCCATCGTTCAGTCTAATACAGTGTTCAATGATCAGTGGTTTGAATCCCACTGTGGATACACAGTTTAATGGAAAATACATTTGATGAATCGCTGGGATAATTAGACGTCGATGATGTCGTCGGTGAAATCTCCCTGAATGATCGAGTCCACTGCTGTGACGATCAATTCTGAAAGCATTCAATAGTTCCATTTGTGACATTTTTCCTTGGTTGTGTCCCATGAGATTTTTAGAATATAAAATTTGTGCCTTGGATAAATAAAGTTTCAGGAACATAAAGTGGTTAGTTTTCAGTGTGACATATCACTGTGTCACATCTGGGGATTTCAAATGTAATTCCCATTTTTGAAATCACAATATGAATCATTACTGAGTCAATCTAAGAGAGATATGCCAAATACAGAAGTAAGTGTTCACAAATTCTTAATGATGGAATCAAATTATTCTGAAGAGGTCATTGACCTCCCTCCCTTTTACGATCCCCACCCATTTCGGAGACGTCCAGACTGCAGTGTTGGTGTCTGACTCAGATGCTGAGGTGCACTAAATCTGAGCTCAATTATAGGAGGCAAGTGGGATTCGCAGCTGAATAACCCTCAGGCACCAGCAAATAACTTTGTCTGCAACACCGTTTCCTCATACGTGATTTCTACAAATGAGTCCCCCTATCATATTATTAACATCAATCTTTTGTACATCACCACATGCGAGCTGAATTCCATTGTACAGTCCTCAGGAGACCTGTTAAAAGGCGGGGGCAGGGGGGGGAGACAAAAAACTAAAAGTTCTGTAACTTGTAAGCTCATACGGTGCTGCTTGTTTTCATGTATTACAGTAAAAGTGCTTGCTGTTTGTCAATTTGTAGTACCGCTACATCATTTTTTTTTAAATCAACATCTCAGTTTGTTTTGACATCAATCATCAATTTTCATAACATTGAAGCATTGTTTGTTTTAGATTTGTCGTCCATGTCCTTTGTGCTTCGTTTATAACCCTGGTGGTCATCAGCAAATAGTTTGCTTTGTGTGCCTTAATGTATTTTTGAGGCTGATTAAAAAAAAAAAAAATGTCTTTACTTTTTCCCTCGCACATGAGGTTTTTGAGATATTTTCACTTTTTGTTTCTAAGTTTGATCTATAAAAGCTAGCACCAAAAACGAATTTTAATCCTGTAAAAAAAATATGTTGACCAATGTGATTATATTTTCACAAGTTTCGGGTGCTTGGCAGGGACCACATTTCAAATTTCAGTTTTACTATGCTCAGGACATGTATTAGCTCAATTAGTGTGAATTTAATTTGGTCCTTGCTTGTTGGTAGTTCAGATTTTTAAATGACTCAGTTATTAATTTATGGTCAGTTGTTTTTTTTCGTTTGGTCTCCCCCACGGGCTGTTTTTAATCCGAAGCAGGATGACAACTTGCTTAACTCTCCTCGCACATGTTTTGAGACATTTAACCAAGTGTATGTTTGACGGGCTAACATGACCGTGTTGTTTCCCCAGCTGCTGGAGTACACGGGCAAAGGGAAGAGCATCGTTGACGTGGGCTTGGCTCAGGCCCTTCGGCCACTCAACACACGCTTCCACTACTACGAGCTGGAGATCACAGACGCCGGGGAGAAGTGTTACATCGCCCTGGGCCTGGCACGCAAGGTACGAGGCGCCTCGCCGCTCTTCGCCGTCACAGCGTTTGACAATCAGCGTTGCGCTACGTGCTGCGGTCATTTCTCTGGAGCCTCCCTTCGAGATGTTTTCACAGTTTCCAGTCTGCGTAATGATGGATGAGGGAGGAAAAGCTAACAACAGAATAACTATTGTCTCATTGTGCCCTCACATCTGCGTTTCCGTCCAAGGCAGGTTGTTCCACTTAGATGCTAATCTGCCTCATTAAGGAGGAAAGTGCAGTCGCATTGGGGAAACTGAGTTAGGTGTTGTTTGATTGGAAATGATTCACGTTCTGGAAACGGAAAGAAGACCTGTTGAATGTTTACACATTATCCAGCCATTGTGTCATTGAAATAACACATTTGAGAAGAAGTGGGCCTCAGATCTGGAGATGTTCTGCCATGTGCTCATTGTTTTCACTTTGCGGCGGCGGCTAACTGACGCACACTTTGCTTTGTGCCAGCTGTGTGCGACGCCGCTCGCAGCCTGGGAGGCAGAGGATCTTCGTTGCACTTTGCACCTTCTCTAATCTCCTTCTGAGTCCTCTGGCGTTGATGCGCGTGGGCGGGTCGCGACATCGGAGAATAGAGTTGTCATTTTCCTGATCGTTATTCCCGGAATGTTTTTTCCCTGCGCGTCTGTGCTTTTTCAGTTTTATTTTTCTTTTTTAAAATCCACCACTCGGTCGTTTATTTTGCACTAATACAGTAATCAATACAAAATAAAGGTAACCTTTTTCTGTTCGAGTAACATTTTGTTCTCCGCTCAGTCCTTCCACAACGGTTTTATTTCCTTGTTCCCTTTGGAGGAAAACTAATCAATCTTTGCTTCAGAGAACCTGCATCTCACTATTGATCTGATTTGGCGTTGTTTTCACTGTGCGCATGCGCTCACAGCGTTTCACGCATAATGCCCACGAGGACAAAAATGGCCATTCAGCTGGCCACATATCTCATCGTGTGCCAGTCCAATCGGTCAAGCTTGTGACGTTTCTAACGCATTCTGGCCTCGTGCTTCCACAGTGAGGGGAAGTCAAGGCTGATGATGTCAAAAGCATTTGGAACAAAATGCAATAACTCTTAAAACAACCTCACCCTGTTAAATGCACAACTTGAAGGGTTGAAGGCTATACACACACACACACACACACACACACACACACACACACACACACACACACACACAGACAGAAAGAGAGAGAGAGCGAGAGCGAGCGAGCTCACTTCTGCTGTCTTTCTTGTGCAAGGTCAAAGCCGTCATAAGGGAAAATTCATAAGACTCTTAAGACAACCTCACCCTGTAGCACAATATGAAGAATTGAAGGAGAGAGGTCACGCCAAACTCCAAGTCACCTAATTCAACACTTGATAAAATATGGACTCATTTAAAAAATGCAGTACAGCGTTATCGCAAATGTCCAGTGACAGGCTCTCAATGGCAACAGGTGCAATGGATCCACCTGTTGCCGTTCATACAACGCTCAAAGTCACGAGTTCCTGTAGCTACTGTATATCAGCTTTGTGTTCAACTAAACAGGTTCATAATTTCAAAACAAAGTCATTATTCTGAGAACATTGATACATGATCGGCATTATTACAGTGTTTTTACTTAAAAAAAAAAGTCATGATTGTTTGGCGTGTCATGAGCTTTTTCTAATGTTAAATTGGGTGCCTTACCGCAATCAAGGTTGGGACACGCTGCATTCTGCTGGGATAACCAAGCTGTTTATATCCATAAGGGAATGCCACTTATTTAGGGAATTGTACACACTGAGAACAGCAGCCCAGCTTGTCGTCTCCTTGACGATGGTTTTGCTCATGTGGCACTGTGATGGCTTGTATCCCGAATGGAAAAGATCATTTTGCGCTGTTGCTGATGATGCTAGATGCATGAAAATGCAGATTTGATGCAGAGGTTTATAATTTTGTCCCACAGGATTATCCGAAAAACAGACATCCAGGATGGAGCAGAGGGTCCATCGCATATCATGCGGGTGAGTGTTAGACGCTGTAGTTTACATTCCAAACTAGCCGTTGCTGATCTAAGGAAACACGACACAGCGCCTTTTCTTCGCCCTCAAAACCATTTGTGTATTTGTGATATGTAAATGAAGATGTATGCAACTAAATTGCTGGATCCAGTCGGAATCACGTCAAATGTGCTCATTCAAAAACAACGCGGGTGGATTTAAAAAAAAAAAAAAACAACCTTAAACAATGCCAAACACTACTAGTTCCACAGTATCATCCCAAAACATTTCACAGTCTCTTTCATTGTCTTTTCTCCATCATGCAGCGTTGTAGCCTTTGGGTGACACGGGGGAGCCAGAGTTACTGACCCGCAGTGGGGAAAAAAATGGCACTTGGATTATTTTTTTAAAAACTGTTCGGCCCTACTTCCTAGGCCTTTGTTGACTGATCACAAAAGGAGGGATCATGGTCTAATTTGTCCCCATTGTCAGAATGCGTGTACCTTTTGTGGTAGAAACTGGACTCATCTTGTATTGTGACGCAGGGAGCTAAGCCAAAGTTTCTTCTGTAGACGACGGAAAGTTGTTTCAGGGCAGCGGTGTCGGCGACGCCTTCGGGCCACGTTGCTTCGAAGGAGACCTCATGGGCTGCGGCATCATGTTTCCACGTGACTTCAGCCACGAGGATGGAGGCGAGTGGTTTAACACTCCATCCTACGGCCACGTCATCATGTCCGTCTTCTTGATTGTCTGTCTTTCTCTTGCCGGTTTTGTTTAGATGATGCGGATGACTGGGACCTGGAAATGTTTCCGCAGCCCAGCGAGGTTCAGAATGACTTATACGCGAGCAATGACGACGACGACGACGAGGGGGAAGACTTGGAGGGAACCAAGGTCATGGTGAGACGCTGCCAAAACCGCACAACGCCGGGACGTTCTTCCGTGCAATAGTGCTCATTGTCTCTTCTCCTCTCCTCTTTGCGACAGGTGTTCTTCACCCGCAATGGAAAGGTGGTGGGGCGCAGGGAGGTGGCCTTACCTGCCGGAGGCTTCTACCCCACTATTGGCATGATGAGCACCGGGGAGAAAGTTAAAGTAGACCTGCACCCCCTCAGTGGCTGAACACCTCCACGGGACTCTTACCTCATCATCAACGGGCTGCTGCACGACGCTTGTAGAAGTCACGTCAGGATGGAACTGTGGCCTTCTCATGCTGTAAGAATCAAATGGTCCACATGTGGTTATTTCTTGAAGTTTTAATGGAAGCACACATTGTGGCGTTGATTTTTTTTTTCCTAAAAGAAGCAGAGCAAGCTGAGGATTCGCAACAATCAATTATTTCCATATTGATTTCGAGTCAGTGGCCTTACGTTCCATAAATGGTGCATTACTGGCACTCGGTGGTGAGACTCCTGTACTGCAGTCATTTTTTCACTTCATGGCCTAAAAATGTAAAACAACTCCCACAATGTTTCCCAGCCTTTTATTCAGCCAAGGCCCATATTTTCACTTAAGAAAATTCTCACAGCATACCACAACAACAAAAATGCAACAAAAAAGCAAAACTAAACAAAAAAAACAAACCATGATGATCCTGTCTCATTTTACTCACAACTTTATTGATGTGAAATCTGGGCCCGTTAAATTGAGTAGAAATCTATATTCTGTTGACTGATGGAAACTCAAGTTAATTGTACCTTCTGACATCCAATGGAATTAATTGATACACCCGTCACTGTATGTTGCTGGCATAGTTGGATTAAAAAAAAATACATTATTTAAAATGAACAAATAAAATCTGGATACGTTTTTGCAACATGATCTAACTAATGTGCCACAGCACCATGGTTTGTGAAACAATACCCAAGCATATAATGGCCTTTAACTCGACTTCTATGGCAAAAATAGCTTTATTTCCCTCCAATTAATTGGCTTTATTTTAACCTTTTCCAGGCAATGTAATTTTGCTCCATACATGTGTTCTTGTTAGCAAACTACACAGCATTTTCCAAGAATTTATCAAATTACAAGATGTTTTTATACTCAAAGGGAAGACATACATCTTTTATGGAAGGATAGTTAATGTCCAAAAACACAAGTAAAAATTGTTTAAATGTTCTTGACCATGAAGCCATAGCTATGATTGATTGCTCTCAGGTATATTTAAATATCAAAACAGATCACCTTTTTATTTATTCAAGTCACATTTGTCCTCTGCATCGTGTCGTTTTTGACTTTCATCTTATTTGGGCGGAGAGGGGAGGATCAATGGTTTTCCAATAATTGAGGATTAACTTTCACCTGCACTTTCTTTCAGCACATTTTTAGCTTCCTGGCATCAATTCTATTCCTCCACAAAGGGGGCACAGAAGGAAGATTTGTTTTCAATCTGCTCCATTTGTGCCACAAACATATGCTAAATTCACGAAACACAAAATTGAGCCTTGGTGTGAATTTGGGATGTGCTGCAGCTTGGCTCTGTTACCATGAATTGCATAAGCAGCGTACGCTGTAAAATGTCTGAATCCATGGATGTTGTCATCGGATTACAAGCTTTACTCTGATGAATTTGTTAAAAAAAAACAAAAAAAAAAAAAAAACAAAGCAGCCAACTATAGACCATTCTGACCAAAGTGCCCACACGTATACTTATTGTCCTCGCGTCATGTACTGTAATCTGTTTATTCATGTGTGCTTTTTACAGTTATCAAAATTTAACAAATGGTGCTCTTGTGCATTTTCACCCCCAGCTCATGATTATTGCAAAACAATCAACCAACCCGGGCCTCATATATAGCAATGCCTCTTTTGTGTGAAGCAATCCAATAAAAACCAAAAAGTTATATACAGTACATCCAAATTTACATTTTATTGACATTTGAGATATAAATGTAGCTTGATGTTCACTTGTGCCTTTTAGGTACATATGTTGCACATATTAAATGTCTTATCATACCATTGTGCTTTTTCTTTCATGTTAGCATGGATCCAACTGCGTGGTTCATGGTGGACAATTCAAAACATGAATGGATGCCATTTTGATTCTGTCGTGAAGTCTTTGCGTATTAAAGCTTAAATGGAAATTATATGAAAATGCCTCAATCAGCGTTAGGGAATTTTCCGTGTGTTTGACATAGATTTTATGTAATTCATTCATTAAAAATGACAAACAACCCCTTAAAATTGCCTTTTTAACGTTTTATTTTATTCGAACAACTTAAAACAGTACAACTGAAGTCGAATCCATTCTGCAAGTTATTTAAAAATCATACAGGAAAAACAAATCAGCGGCACTTTACATACAAAAACTTTTTTTTAAATTACGTACGTCACAAAATCAAATATGGAGAAATTTTTTTTGAAAATATATTAATCAGGAGCGCTTTGTCAGTGTCTTTCTTTGTGGCACTAAGAACATTTCAAGAGCATCTTGGGTTGGTCGGTCTGATTCATGCTCAAGGGTAAAAAATGATTACACAAATGTGACATTTCAACTCCCTTTTTATCGGTTAGGCTAATATGGCAACACCGTAGTTTCTGTTTAGGTGTTCGGCAAAAGTAAAGCTATTCAGAGCAGCTTCTCAGTTGTGATTATTTCTTTACCTGAGATTTGTTTCCAGTCTAATTAATGTCTTCAGCACAGTAGTACGGTAACTGAGATATTTGACTCCTCAAACGGTATAATTAGGAGTTGAACAATATACAAAGCTAAAACCAAAAAGCATTAAACTTGAGAAATGAGACAAATTGAGTTGACTATGCTCGTCTCAGTAATCGTCTTCGTCTTCATCTTCGTCCTCGTCGTCATCGTAGTAACGGTTCCTCTTGATGATGTCTTCTGCCGTCAGCTCCTCTGCGTCCCTCTCGTCTTTGTCCTCCTCCCAGAAGCCGACGTCCTGCGAGGCGTGGTTCAGTTTGGGCTGCGCGGGCGGCGAGGGGGACGCCGAGATGTCAGGAGAGATGGTCAAGGAGCCGTCGTCGGCCAATGGGCTTCCTTCCTGTGCGTGTTCACCACCTTGATGGTCACCCTCCACGACCACCTCCGGGCTACTTTGATTGACTACTTCACTAGCGATTTGCTTCTCTCTATCATCTCTCTTCCTCTGCAGATCCACTTTCTTGTCTGCCATTCTTTCTTGAGATGAGCTCTTTTCCTCCAGGGACGCTCGCCATTCCTGCAGGGCCTTGAGAGGCCGGCGAGGCTCCTTGGGAATGGCGGTGGGATTGGGGCTGGCCTGGGCAGCCAAGGTGAAGGCCCGACTGCGTTCCCTTAGAGAGGAGCTCCTCCTCAGACTCGTCAGTTCGGCACGCTCGGTACTGTGGGATGACGAAGCGGAGGACAGCGAGTCGTCCTCTGGGGGCCACTTGGCCCTCCAGGCTCGTCCCGAGCCGCCGCCCTCCATGGCAGGGCTGCGCAAGCCTGCGCCGGGGGTGCCTTCGCCGGCAGGGGGCGGCCAGGCGATCCTCAACCTGCGAGTCTCGGCCGGCTTCTCTGCGGAGCTGGCGGCCGTCTGCATCCGAGTCTCCAGGTGTGCGGCGAGGTCGGTCACTTTGACTGGTGGGGATGCTTCTTCGGCAGTTGGGGTGGGCTGTTTGTCTGACATGCTCTCCACGGACTCGGCTCTGCCTCTCTCTGCCGCTACTTGTTCTCTGGGTTTCACCAACTCCTCTTCGCCTTCATCTCCGTCCTTGCGAGGCGCCCACAACTCCTTGTGAGGCCGGTGGCCGAAGCCCTCGTCGTAGTTGCCTTTAGCTTTAAACAGCTGACTGAAATGAGGCTTACAGTACACGTTGCCGTGCAGAGAAGCAAAGTTGCCCAGGCTGAAAACAGACATAAGGCGGCATCGTCAGGAAAAGTTGTTTTTAAACGACATTTTGGACGGGATAACAACCTTAGCTTTGTGCTGCAGTGGACGCAGCGGAAGCAGCTCTTGTGGTAGATGTGCTGAAGAGCCGCCAATCTCTCCAGGGGGTACACCGTCTTCTGGCAAGCAACGCACGTCTCCTTCACTGGAGGGCAGAACTTCTGAACGCACACAAACGTATAGTTTGAGTCTTGTCTACTGACTGAGGGCTGCGCTGGTGGACTCACCCTGGATGGTTTTGGAGGCTCACTGCTAGTATCCCCTGAAAAATACACACGCACACAAACTCGGTTTACTTTCATTTTACACTACTCGCACTAAAAGCTTTCCAGTTACATTTCAGGAAGAACCTAAAAGACAGTGAGACATTTACAGCTGGACTTAATTTGACATTTTGTCACTTTTGAACACGTGTTCAACTGTTCTTTGCTTTTGTCGTGCATTCAAGGTCACAGAAGGTCGAATTCAGTTCATCTCTTCAAATTATACTGCATTTTAAATTCATTCTGAAATTTCACCCACATTTAGCCCTAACTTTTTACGAGTAGTGTATAGTGACACTCACATTCGCAATGTATAAGTCTTCTATTAAAGACAGACTTTCAAGTCAAAGTTGTTTTTTTTTTTTTTTTTTTTTTTTTGCACTGAGCTGGTTTAATTTAAGCACCGTGTGCACTCAAGCTCAATGCGATCACTCCTGCTGCCTCTTTGCGAAAAAAAACAACTCAAAATAATTCACATGGGTACACATTGACACCTTTGTGGCGAAAGTCTGGTTTGTTTGACAAGATTTGAGCACTCTGCGCGCACTCAAGCTCAATATGATTTTTCTCTACCTGCCAGTTCTAATAACTACCACCGCGCGTAAGAGACATAACCCCAATCACTCATGACAACACATGCCTGAACTAGGCCACATGCGGGGCGGAGGGGGGTAACTGTTCCGCCTGAGTCCTCTCATGTGGATCCGGTCGGTGACTCACCATTACACTCGGGTCCTGGCGTCACTTTCTCAATTGCAAGTAGAGATATTTTGGAGGGCAGCACCTCTGGTATCACAGCCTGGAGAACAACAAAACGGCTGTTATGTCTGCAGTGTTGTCGTAATCACAGGGGGAACAAGTTGGTGGGGGGATAGTGATCAATCAATACGCAGGTATATACACATACAGTCCCACCTCCACTTAAAGTTCACATTCAATTGAAATCTGCTATCTGATGAACCGCTTCATCCATTTGTTGCATTCCATTGCTGTCCAATGAGAACCATCGGTAGTTGTAAATGGGGGGGCGAAAAAAAATTAACATAAAAAACATGCTTTTAGTTGGACAGTGCTGATTCCAATCCAAATTTCAAAATATAGCACAAAGCGCGATGCAAAAAAAAAAAAAAAAACATTCCAGTAAACTGGACCCAAAGGCCCACACATGCGTCCTGCAAGGAAAAAAAAAAAACCACCAAGGCAGAGCTTTTTTCCCCCTTTTATTTATTTAATTCTTGTCCTGTAAAAACATACCTGAGATTCCACGAGACCGCTTCCAAATTTAAAACCTTGCCTATTGGCTCAATAGGACGCCACAAAATTGTCTGGAATGACGAGATAATGCTCTCAATTTAGAAGCAATGCAAAGCCACAAAAATCTACCTCAACTAAACTGAAAGTTATTTTCTTGTTGGATGGTTCAATGTAGTTGGAAACAAGCATTGGAACCCTTTTCATTGTACTGGTCTGTGAGCAAACGTTTGCCACAGAGTTTCATATAATTCTGCTACATGTCCCTGATGACTGGGGTCTTCTAATGAGGACACTAAGGGCACTTTATAGTGCTATTGCCCCGTGACCTATTACAGGGGAGGAGGCCGTTCTCTTACTCACAGATTTAGTGTTGCTTTGTTTGGACACAGCAGCAGAGTATTTGGCCAGCTTCTCCCTTAGTGAGGTCTTCTCCAGCACGCGGTCACACACTGATTGGAACACAACACGCAAAGTTCATATTTTCCTTGTAT